ATCGGCTCATCATAAATCTCAACAATTATTAAACGTAAATATAACTCATGCATTAAAAAACTACTTTCGATAGACACAACTTATTCTTTTAAAAAAAATCTCAACCCACTATTTCGGATATATACTACCGATTCAAATTTAAGAAAAAAATCTGCTATATTTTTAAGAGATATATTATCAAATACAAAAAAAAAAAATAGGACGACCATCTTTGATATCGTAACATATTTAATTAATAATAATCGGTTATCAGAGTTGCTTCTTTTAAAACAAACCATATTATATCTTTTATTTATTTCCTATGAATTGATTTACTACCAAAATTATTATATTTTAACATACTTTTAATACTATGAATTGTTAATCGTAAATATAACACATGCTTTAAACACTAACCCCGATAGATACAAATCAATCTTTACAAATCATTTCAACGCACTAATTGTCATATATACTACCGATATAAATTCAAAAATTTGATATGTTCATTACCAAATTTATGATTTCAAAAATTATATACATACACATAATATGTAGGCTTAATTGTACATAAAATCCTCACGTACTGTGTAATTGCAAATAAAACTCTACATTTTATCTTTGCAAATAAATATCAATCTTTTATTATGTGTTGCAAATTTGTTTCAAAACTATTTTCCGGCCAATCCTTGTTGATGTGCCCGATCAAAAATCTTACGTGACACTTATGAGGCTTGTGTGCAGGGGCGGATCTACAGCCACCTTAGGTGCTGCCTAGGCCCCACCTGAAATTCTACATTTTTTTATTACATAATTTTAGTATTATATATCTTTAACAAAATAAATATAAATAGAGTATTTTACAATAACAATTTATAAATGAAGTTATTTATTATGCATTTTTTTCCTCGTTCTCTCGTACTAAATTTTGTTATTGTAATATTTTATCCATTGTTCTTGTAAATAAATCATTATGCCTTTGCATACTACTATATTATATTAGAGAATTATTATCAATGCGAATTAGTGTCAACTATTAACTCAATTAAGAAATTGAATCATATTATTTTTGTATACAGCATATTGAGAAATATCTATGTTTTACTACCCACGACGAGTACAATTTAATATGTGCACTTATATTATAAAAAATTAACATACATTGTATGACACAATTAAAAAATCATGAGAATTTAGCATGTTACATATATATGTCTTAATATGTTTGTGGTGGTTGATGAATATTTTTGTATTGATAATAACACATTTTAAGTCATCAAATGAAAAATAATACTGAAAGTTTACAAAATATTAAAGATATTTTAGGGTATTTTAAGTTCTCAATTTGAAAAAGTAGAATATATATATAATTATATATATTATATTTTATGTGTTGTTTTTGTCTTTTCAATTAACACAAAAAATTGCCCCCCCCCCTCCCCCCTCTCTTCCATTTGTTGAATCCGCCCCTGCTTGTGTAGCATCTATCTTTGAAACTCCTTACCATATTTTTGCCACATCATATGTCAACAAATTAACCAAAATTCGTGTTTAGTACCAATTGAAAAAATAAGATTTTATCACCATATTTTTTGCTCCATAATCTTCATAAAAATCAAATTCTTCTCCCCCAATTGAAAAAAAAAAATATTTGTAGCGATTCTTTTCTTCTCCATGACGCGGTTTTTCACCCCAAAAAATCGAGTTCACCCCCAACATTCCGAATACATTTACGAGTTCACCCCCAAATTCTGGAAAATTGGGAAGAGGGAGCGATTTTCGACTGGCGGCGCGCGCGGAGACAAAAAAATCGCCAACCCTTTTTTTGTGTTCTGATCGGACAAGTCATTAAGATTGACCGGAAAATGGTTTTGAGACAAATTTGCAACATATAATAAATGTTTGGTATTTATTTACAATTACCATAGTTTTTAAACCCGGCCCGGTGATTGACCCGGGAAGGTCTCCGGGTCACCGGGTCACCGGTTCAACCGCCGGGTCACCGGGTCAATTGCTGAACCGGATAATTAATTTTAAAATTTTTAAAATTATATATATATAGTATTTTGTCATATAAATATACATAAAATAACAAAATTAAATGTTTTGTATGTAAAATTTGTATATTAAAGTGATAATAATATTTTTTTAATAATAAATATTTACCATATAAATATATATACATATTTTTATTTTTAAAAAAATAAAAAAAAATAAAAAAAATTTAAAATATATGTAGGGACCGGGTCAACCGGGTTGACCCGGCCGGGTCAATGCCCCGGGTCGACCGGGTCAAGGCCGGGTTGACCGGGTTTTAACCGGGTTTGACCGATTCATTTGTTATCCGGTCTAATTAGCACACCCGGACCGGTTCTGGCTCCGGGTCGACCGGGTCCCGGGTCGACCCGCCGGGCCGGTCCGAGTTGAAAAACACTGACAATTACACAAAAGGTGAGGATTTTAGGTGCAATTAAGCCTAATTATGTACTCTATAATTTTATTTACATTTGTGTTAGTACTCCAATAAATTCTGACTTATTCATTTAATAATAATTAGCAATAATTAAATATTTATTGTTATTAATTGCACTTCAAAACACTAGCACTATACATAATCCCTTCACATGAACCGAAAAAAATATTTTAACATAAGTGAGAGTGGCCATCAAATCTACAAACTCTCTCTCTCTCTCTCTCTCTCTCTCTCTCTTCTCAAGTTGTGTTCTCAAATTTTCACCAAGGTACGTAACTCTCTCTCTCTCTCTCTCTCTCTCCCTCAAATTCTATGTTTGTTTGTGCTTGCAAAAATTAATAGTCATATGTGATTCACACAAATCTTACACTGTTACACACAATCTGCAAATAATTCATACCCACTTTACATAAAGTTTTTTGGTGAAAGAACTATAAAAGTTGTTCCTATTTTTCAGTTCCCCAGTTTTTGGGGTGCCTTAAAAATCTTTTACAGCCTTTATTTTTGAGCTTCTTCTTCTTGTGCATATATCTTTTTTTTTTTTAATTTTTTTAATTAAATTCTAGATCTTAGCTTTTATTTTTGGCTTTTGATTTGGTGTTTGTTGTAATGGGCCATAAAATATGAGTAGAGGTGGCCAGGTGCCGGTTCTCGGTCCGGCCCGCCGGGCCACGGGCCCTCCAACACATGGTCCACGACCGGCCCGCCTAAAAACCAAGGGCCGGTTCACAGGTCGGCCCGAACCGCCTGTTCCCGAGTCGGTACGGCCTAAAAAAAAAAAATTTAACAAGGTGGCCCGCCATCCGGCCCGACCCGACTCAATCCGGACCGACGGGTCAAAAAAATAATAATAAAGGAACCGGGACCGAACCATCCCTTAAGAGACCGGTTCGGGTCGGGCCGGTACCAGTTCGCGGGTCGGCCACGGGCCAGTTCGGCCCGTGGCCATGTCTAAATATGAGTCTCTTTTTTTATTTTCCCATTTGCTCTTTTTTTTTTGTTTCTTTCTATTTAAGGAAAATTATATTTTATGCTTAGGCCTCTGCCCACTGAAAATCTTTTGGTGTACGGTTTCAATTTTTTGAATTCCCAGTTTTATCCTTTGTCTTTGGAAAATTCGTCTATGTGATGTGTGTGAATTCCCTAGTATGGGGATTTTGTACTTAGTACATTGAATTTTATTTTAGGGAAACTTTACGTTCTCCTTATGGAACCACTCTGTCGGAGCTTGTAACCGTTAAATAATTATGTAGCCGTTAGTGATAATTGATCTAACAGTTACAAACTCCGACTACGAAATGGTTTCGTGACAGAATCGTAGCATTTCCCATAAACAAAATTTAATGTAATCAGTACAAAATCCCCATAATTGGGAATTCACACACATCATTATACAAATTATTTTTATTTTATTTAATTTAATTTGTGTATGCCTACATGCTCATTTGGAATTAGATATGTTTATGATGACTTAAATTGAGACATTATCCTTTTTACTTCTTAGTTTGAAGTACAATTGCCTTGTTTGAACTGCAACTTTGGCTGGCCCTTTTAGGAGTTTGCAAAATCTTTTGAAATTGTGAGTTAAAAACTTCTTTTAGGTGTGTTTTTTTACCTAACAAATTGTACAAAATGAGAAAAAGTAAATTATCCAACACAACAATAATTACTGTGACTGTTACACAATTTAATGACTACACAATATATGTATTTTCTTTCTCATGAAAAAAACATTCGAGAAATGCTATAGGTGCATAATACTATACATAGAAGTACATACATATAACACTCACATTAAGTGGGTCCTATCGAAAAAAAAAAAATCATGTGGACTTCACTCCACATGAATGTTGTGTACACATTTATGTACATTTATTATGTACTCGTGGCATTTTTCGAAACTTTTATCATATTTAAATAACTTTTGTATATGCATTGTTTGTTCCACATGTTTTATGATTGATTGATCCTTTATATTGATAAAAAATAAGAACTTACCCCCATGGGGGGTCATGATATCATCAATTGCATACCTTGTCTCTTATGCCCAATTTGTCTTTTTATTTTAAAAAAAACAATTCTATAATACCTGTCATGTTTTGTCTCTGCCTTTTTCCCAATATGAGCAAGTACATATATGAGAATATATATATGTAATGATGCCCATTCCTCAAACATCTAACACAAAATAGTTTAATAATGGATTAGTGTTGACATAGTTTAATGGATTAACTCTAAAATGTTATATTTTTTTTTTTCAAAAGATATGAATATTTTTAAATTTAAATATCATACTTTAAAAAAAAAACACGACACGTCGACCTGCCTAACAGTTAGATCACTTCATAAAAAAAAATGATAAAACACCAATATATAATAGGACCCTTATAAGCCCTCATTCTCTACTTTTTTCTTGTTCTTTTTTTTTTCTTTTTCTAATTATCTTTTCCTCTTCTAAAGGATATTGATACTTCCTCTTGTGCAGATATTTTCATTTGATTGGATTGAAAAAAAAATCCAATCTTGAAATTTAGGACAAAAAACAAAAATGGGTGATCATGCATTTGAAGGCCTTGGCATTAATGGTGCCCAATTGGATGGCAAGATTGTGCAGACTTTTCAAAAGAGTTTTGTTCAGGTTCAGAGCATATTGGACCAAAACAGGCTGCTTATAAATGAGATCAACCAGAATCATGAGTCCAGAGTTCCAGACAATTTGAGCAGAAATGTGGGGCTGATTAGGGAGCTCAACAACAATATCAAGAGGGTTGTTCATCTTTATGGTGACCTGTCAACAATCTTCATACAATCCATGGATGCTTCCTCGGAGGGCGACTCTTCTGGCGCTTCGAAATCCCGAGGAAAAGCTTCCCAAAAAAGGCATTGGCCCGGTTAGTTACTCGGTTTTTCTTGGAGAAACGGTTTACTTTAATTTACGAGAACAACCCCGCCGAGGTTTTGTTTAGCTTGGTTGAAAAAAGAAGCCTCCCGTAATTTCTACACCTTACAAAATCGCACCCTCGCCGGGGGAGATGTTTGTAGATTTTCGAAAGATGGGAGGGCTCTTTTGCAATAAAGTAAATCTTGAGGGGTAGTTTTGTGAAAAGCTGACCCTCAATATTGCTTTAGTTTTCTTGTTTTTTTTAATTCTTTTAACCAAGATAATGATATACCATTGTCTTTGGAGGTAGCATCAATTTCAACTTCAAATTTCACTAAAC